ATTATGGCTGTTGTTGTGTCCTTGGGCAAGACACCTAACCCCACCTTGCCTGAATCCCCGCTGAAAGAAAAGTTCCTGTCCATCTTTGAACCAATAAGTGTAATGTTCCTGACTTAAACACATACAAAAAATGCAAAATTTAAATTGTTTTAGATCAATTTGGGTGTTACAAAATTACAGAAAATACAGAGACATGCCTGTCGTAGATTTTCATTATTATTATTATTATTTTTATTATATATTAGTATTATATTATTATATTGCAGGCAGATAGCATGTGTTGTTATGTCTGCTCAACAAGCCTGAAGCTGTTATAAGATGGGACAAAACAGGAGCCAGAACTGGACAAATCTGACCCAAATTTGGACTGGACTAAAGCCAGTGCCACATACAAGTTACTGGGCAGAGACTAAGACTAGATTACAATAGTGTGTACATTTACTTTCCATTATACTTACCAAAACGTGATTTGGATCCAAGAAACATATATATTTTTACCATAAGATCCACTTTCTTATGTTTGCAATGATGACAATTACAGTTATTTATCATGGACCACACACATTATTGATGCAAATGTTACTCTATAAAAATAATAATGGGAAAAATGTATGTCCCAGCACCAACAAATGCACCTAAACTAAACCATGAGTAAAAGAGGACAGCAGTGGTACAGAGGTGTCAAAAAGAGCCCAACCTGGAGCTGAAACTGACACATCACACCGATAAGTGACACCACAGGAGGAAGTCCAACCACACGACACACACTTTCCAATGACACTGTTTTTTCCTTTGTTTTATTACAAAGAACTGCAAGGTTGAGTCCTGATTGTGTTCTTTTACTGGATGTAATATTCTGAAGCTGGCCCACATCATCACAACAATGAGAAAACACACAAATAGATAATAGTCAAGCTACTTTTGTGTTTGCATTTAAAAAATAGGGGTCATTTATCGGCAAATATGTGACAATATCAATTAATTAAGATTGTATTTGCAAAAGCAGATATTTACGTTTTGAGAATTTGTCAGAAAAGGTTAGTCCTCCAGCTACGGAGCTCAACGTATTTTATTATTAGCAGTAAATTTGAAAGGATTTGCTCAAGAAAGAGGGAAACTGTAATTGTACGGCGGTAAATTATATCTGCCTTTCCAAATAACGACTTGTCTAAGGGTAAATTGTACGTCTTTCAAATATGTTTCTAATGTCAACCTAACTGTTCATATTGTATCGCTTATATTTTTCTTTTTAGTATTAGTCTAGTCGAGCAAACTGGTCCGGAAAAAATCTAGTGCTGTAAGTGAACTAAACACAAACATATATTAGTCTACTTTTTTCTATTCTTTTTTAGAATGATACATTTTATCTTCATTTTTGCCGCTACTGGACACCTGATTTTTTCCTACGGGGATCAATAAAGCATCTATCTGTCTATCTACACCACAATAGTTGCAATAGTCATACAGCACATGATCTAATAGACCCGATGTATGATTAGTTTGGTTTCTTTTAATCAACATTAACTGAAATATCAGGACACATCAAATTCAAGTCAGGATCTGTCGTTACCGTGGAGATCTCAAAGCTGCAATTACATCACAGTCTATAGAGAGGGAGCTATTTTTTTTCTTTTTTTCTATCCGTCTGGTTGAAGCTGGAATACCTAACTTTGAAACCACAGCAAACCGACTGGAAATAAAAACCATGTGACCCGTTGGTAGGAAGGTTGGTACCAGTTCTCTCTAGGTGGAAAAGCTAAAATCTGTTATGAAAAGAATAGGGCTGGTCAATATAAACGGCATAAGAATTTGGCCAACGGTAGAGATTTTTGTTATACCGGCATATTGCGACCATCTGTGTCCCAAATTATACCGCAATATGAATTTTAGGCCATATCGCCCACCCCTTGATAAGATGGAGACTGCATGTTGCAATATTACAGACACAAACACATTTAGGACAAACAATTACACAGGAGTTGCCATGGAAAACATACAGAACAAGACCTAGATAAAACAAGACCAGACTAAAACTACATGTACACTGCAAAAATTGATCAAATATGAGGGAGAAGTTTAAATTAAAAAGTGGTTTGTATCTTATTTGAGTAAAGGAGATTTGCAAATGGAATAAAGTCTTATTAAAAAAACTGTCTTTATTATCTCATTTCAAGTTAAAAATGTCTTGTATCTTTCTCAATCAAGATAATTATTTATGTCCCATTGGCAAATCTAGTTTTAAGGCAGTCAGAATGTACTCCAATTATGATACATTTTGCCACATTTTAGCCGTTTTTGACTTATTTTTCCTCACTTGTTGCCGTGTATGCAGTATATGAGTAATGGTGAGTGGGTCTATGTCACACCAAGGCAATATAATTATTATTATTTTTTCTAACAAAGAGTTGGAGTTTGTTTTGTGTCGGTTGCTAAGCAGGCGCATCCAGAGCCATCCGGGGCTCTGGCACAGATGCCCACGCGCAGATCCTCTCTCTGCCCCAGCCACACTGAAAAAAAGCATGAAAAGCACCAGAGAAGAGCAGCTCACAATGGAATACACTTCAAAACGCAACACAATCAGACCATGGCACCACAATCAGACCATAGCACCACAATCAGACCATAGAAACATGTTTAGTAAGAGCTAAGACTGGTGTATATAACTTTAAATATGCAAATGTCTTTGGTCGTAACGTCCGAGTTACCAAGCACCAATCAGGAGCGGTGTCGGCCTGACCTCTCTCGTGCTGCTTGTGGCTTACGGCGAGTAGAGCACTAAAGTATAGATTTTTCAAGCCAAAATAGGGTCACTTCCCAAATTGGGCAGAAAAGTGAAAGTCAGTCTTTACAATGAAAATGTACAAGTGAAAAGAAAAGACTCAGGTGTTAGTTGACAAACTTCACACTTCATTGAGTTTTATAGTGGCAACACGAGCAAGGGTTACAGCCACAGAAGCCAAACAAGTTCAAAGTGGAAACTCAATCAACTTCAACAGTGAATAGAGTATTAGAACAATTAATATTAAATGAGACAAAATAAACAGGTCAAACAAGATCATTTCCCTTTGTTTTTCATTTAGTCTGGGTAGGTCCAGGTCTTCAAAGAAATATTGCATTCATTTCAGTAGGTTCAGTTACTAATTTATCCTTTGATTGTCTTGCTGATATTACAGTGCCTTGCGAAAGTATTCGGCCCCCTTGAACCTTTCAACATTTCGCCACATTTCAGGCTTCAAACATAAAGATATAAAAATTACAAATTTTGTCAAGAATCAACAACAAGTGGGACACAATCGTGAAGTGGAACAAAATTTATTGGATAATTTAAACTTTTTTAACAAAATAAAAACTGAAAAGTGGGGCGTGCAATATTATTCGGCCCCCTTGCGCTAATACTTTGTAGCGCCACCTTTTGCTGCAATTACAGTTGCAAGTCGTTTGGGGTAGGTCTCTATCAGTTTTGCACATCGAGAGACTGGAATTCTTGCCCATTCTTCCTTGCAAAACAGCTCGAGCTCAGTGAGGTTGGATGGAGAGCGTTTGTGAACAGCAGTCTTCAGCTCTTTCCACAGATTCTCGATTGGATTCAGGTCTGGACTTTGACTTGGCCATTCTAACACCTGGATACGTCTATTTGTGAACCATTCCATTGTTGATTTGGCTTTATGTTTTGGATCATTGTCCTTTTGGAAGAGAAATCTCCGTCCCAGTCTCAGGTCTTTTGCAGACTCCAACAGGTTTTCTTCCAGAATGGTCCTGTATTTGGCTCCATCCATCTTCCCATCAATTTTAGCCATCTTCCCTGTCCCTGCTGAAGAAAAGCAGGCCCAAAGCATGATGCTGCCACCACCATGTTTGACAGTGGGGATGGTGTGTTCAGGGTGATGAGCTGTGTTGCTTTTACGCCAAACATATCGTTTTGCATTGTGGCCAAAAAGTTCGATTTTGGTTTCATCTGACCAGAGCAACTTCTTCCTCATGTTTGGTGTGTCTCCCAGGTGGCTTGTGGCAAACTTTAAACGAGACTTTTTATGGATATCTTTGAGAAATTCCATGCCTTCCATAAAGGCCAGATTTGTGCAGTGCATGGCTGATTGTTGTCCTATGGACAGACTCTCCCACCTCAGCTGTAGTTATCTGCAGTTCATCCAGAGTGATCATGGGCCTCTTGGCTGATTCTCTGATCAGTCTTCTCCTTGTTGGAGATGAAAGTTTGGAGGGACGGCCGGGTCTTGGTAGATTTGCAGTGGTCTGATACTCCTTCCATTTCAATATAATTGCTTGCACAGTGCTCCTTGAGATGTTTAAAGCTTGGGAAATCTTTTTGTATCCAAATGCGGCTTTAAACTTCTCCACAACAGTATCTCGGACCTGCCTGATGTGTTCCTTTGTCTTCATGGTTCTCTCTGCGCTTTAAAGAGAACCCTGAGACTATCAAAGAGCAGGTGCATTTATACGGAGACTTGATTACACACAGGAGCATTCTATTTATCATCATCAGTCATTTAGGACAACATTGGATCATTCAAAGATCCTCACTGAACTTCTGGAGTGAGTTTGCTGCACTGAAAGTAAAGGGGCCGAATAATATTGCACGCCCTACTTTTCAGTTTTTTATTTGTTACATTTTTTTAAATTATCCAATAAATTTTGTTCCACTTCACAACTGCGTCCCACTTGTTGTAGAAAATTAAAAATTAATTAAAAATTAATTAAATTAATTAATTAAGATTTAAAATTAAAATTTTAAATCTTTATGTTTGAAGCCTGAAATGTGGCGAAATTTTCGAATTGCGAATACTTTCGCAAGGCACTGTATCTAGTTTGATTGTTTCACACCTGTGTGCTGCGCTGTGGGCCTGCTCTCTCCACCGGCACCTGGAGCTGCGCTGTGGGCCTGCTCTCTCCACCGGCACCTGGAGCTGTGCTGTTGGCCTGCTCTCTCCACCGGCACCTGGAGCTATGCTGTTGGCCTGCTCTCTCCACCGGCACCTGGAGCTATGCTGTTGGCCTGCTCTCTCCACCGGCACCTGGAGCTGTGCTGTTGGCCTGCTCTCTCCACCGGCACCTGGAGCTGTGCTGTTGGCCTGCTCTCTCCACCGGCACCTGGAGCTATGCTGTTGGCCTGCTCTCTCCACCGGCACCTGGATCTGTGCTGTTGGCCTGCTCTCTCCACCGGCACCTGGAGCTATGCTGTTGGCCTGCTCTCTCCACCGGCACCTGGAGCTGTGCTGTTGGCCTGCTCTCTCCACCGGCACCTGGAGCTGTGCTGTTGGCCTGCTCTCTCCACCGGCACCTGGAGCTATGCTGTTGGCCTGCTCTCTCCACCGGCACCTGGAGCTGTGCTGTTGGCCTGCTCTCTCCACCGGCACCTGGAGCTATGCTGTTGGCCTGCTCTCTCCACCGGCACCTGGATCTGTGCTGTTGGCCTGCTCTCTCCACCGGCACCTGGAGCTATGCTGTTGGCCTGCTCTCTCCACCGGCACCTGGAGCTGTGCTGTTGGCCTGCTCTCTCCACCGGCACCTGGAGCTGTGCTGTTGGCCTGCTCTCTCCACCGGCACCTGGAGCTATGCTGTTGGCCTGCTCTCTCCACCGGCACCTGGAGCTATGCTGTTGGCCTGCTCTCTCCACCGGCACCTGGAGCTGTGCTGTGGGCCTGCTCTACACCTGTGCGATTATACCTCATTTGTGAATTTCAAAAGGCGGTGAACGTATTAAAAAAACATGAAGTTGAAGAAGGACTGTAAATCTCTAATGAAATTTCTGCTTTCTCTCTAGTCTAGCCAAACCTGCTACCTTACATATTGTACTTGTATTATGTACATGCAGCAGATTTCCTACTGTCGCCTGCTTGGAGTTTCTGTTTACTGAATAATGACGTTATTTATCGGCACAATGTACAGCACTTGCTGTATATGCTCATGTTTATGAATGTGAGCATAAGCAGGTGATCTATATCCTGTACATATTTGTAGACACGCGCACACTGCGTCAGATGTGTGCGTGCTTACGGTTTCCTACAACTGGATCTTCATCGCTCAAGCATGTGCTCAGACACTGAGGGGTGTGGACGCGTGCATGTGTGATGCTCAAGCTCGGGGACACATACATGTGCAGTACATGCAAACACACTTCTGGGTATGTACATGGCTAACAAATGTGCACACACCCACAGATGCATATTCCCATTCAGGCACACGCACACATGCACACATACATTCTCATCTGGGTATATCCACACAAACACATGCATACACCCCGGCATAAACACAAATACACATACAAATACACTCAGCACTCATGCTCTAGACACAAACATATACACACATGCATGTATACCCACTCCGGCACATGCACACACACATCCACACACACACACACACACATCTGTTTGAAAAACAATGTAAACATGAAAATATAATTGGGGTAAGCTCCCACAAGTATTATACTTCGGCTTACTCCCTTCTTGAAATGTTTCCTTTTGGATTGTTTTTTTTTTTTTTGTATGCTCAAATAATTTTATATCAAAATAAAATAAAATAAAATCTAAAACAAAATGCTAAAAAACAAAGACTTTTTTCACATTTGCACCAATTAAAACCAAACAAAATCAGGAATTTCTCCAAAAATCCCATTTCTTTCTAATGGTAATGCATCGAGGTGTTGGTGTTTTTCTTCATTCAATTCAAACTGTGATAGATAATGTTCAGCAAAATTAGGAAAACTTTTGTTACTTCACTTTAACCTCTTAACTAACACCGGCGCGCCGGAGGCCGTTTTTATGTTTTTAAATGTTCTGCTGGCAATAGCAGATGTATTTTGAACACCAAACCCCAAACGCTGTATATCATTTTAAAGCTTATTTTCTTATCTACATTTATATACACGTGTAAACTACATCAGACTTGGCATTCAAAAGATATAACACATAATGTGGGCACAAAATAAATCAATTCCAAAATAGTTTTTTACCTTTGGGCTTGTGCTGTACAAATAAATCAGCTCTCCTCCCAGCTTGCAATACATCATTCTCTCTGGAACAGTCCAAAGGAAAATTATATCCACTTGTATTTCCCAAAGTAAAATCCATTCTGCAGAAATAATCCAAAAATGTGCATTTATCTTTAGCGAAAAAAACGAAAAAAAAGAGCACAGATGTTACTCTTTCACTTTTAACGGACTTTTAGCTTTGTTTTTCACCCAAACATCTGGTATCCACGTGTTCCTTTGCTCCTTATCTTTCAAATGAAACTACTCCCAAAAAGCTAGACCAATTTTTGGGTCTGCAAGAGCTCCCGTAAGTACCGCTAGTGCTGCTGTTTGCGCATGGATCACTGATCTTTGTTGTGATCCCAACTTGTTTGCTTTTACTTCCGGGATTTACGATTGACATGTCCTTGTAGCCAATGAGGAAAGCTTTCGAACAAGGGGTGGGACAATGGTGTCCTGTCTTATGTTGGGCCTGGACAATTGTGCGTAATGGCAGCCAAAAGACGCTCTCGAAGCTGCAATGAATTTACACTCATACAAAAATAACTTTGACATTTAAAAAAGAAAAACACATAGATTAGTAACTTATAAGTACCAATAATAAAAAATATTGTTTTTATGATGATTAAATGTAAGTAAAGATATTGGCACAAGTGTGCCAAATTGTGCCAAATGTGCACTACTTGATGAAAAGGAGAAACTGCATAAAAACTATAAAACTTAGAAGTCTGAAACTTTAGACAGTTGTTGTCAACAACACAATGAACAGATGGTTTGAATATTGTGAACTTACAATGAAGTATGCCTTTTTTAGGGCCTTTAGAAATTGAAAATGTTAGGCGAGGCTAAAAAAATTGGGTTTTTTTCCCTAACTTCAAAGGATGCAAAGGAAAATAGGAATGACAAACATTATTTTAGTGTTTTTTTACATAAACTAGAAGGCTCTAGCTTTAAAATGATGCATCACACAAGCATGTGAGATGTAAGATGTGTTTTTAAATAAGCAAAGACATTTGGGTATGCCAAACTTTTGTGCACAAGCCAAAATGAAATGTTTTCCTATATGAGAAAAAAAAACATTCTCAATCTCTTTATATGTTATGTCTTTAAAGAACCTGAATAATAATGACCAGGGACCAAAATATTTTTTTAAATTTCTTCATAATTTTAGAAACATGCAAACATCCTTATATGTATAGCAACACATGTATATACCAGATCTGTAGCCCACACATACTGTACATATAAAGCCCTGAATCAGTCACAACCAAAGCCTGTTATCAAAAATAAGTCCTGTCACAGTTTCTCCATTATAAACACGTAGGAACACTTTACAAACTAAAGTCTCAATGTTTACAACCCCCAAGACTTGTCTTTCAAAGCAATATTCTGGAAATTCCTCACATTATGGCAACGAAAGCAGAATGGAAAAAAAGCCAATGGAGACACATGTTTACAACTATTTCATCCAACTTGTTTTATGCACTAAAAGTAATGTTATACGGCAACAAAACAAACCCAAAGGAGAAGTATTTGGAACACAGCAAGACTATTGTACGGACAGAGTTATTGCGATGTCATATAGATCACTCATTGTAAATACCTCAGTTGGGTCTGTAAGGGGAGAAAGACTGCACCGGGCTGTAATTGCATTCGTTGTCAGCGAGTTTCAATCTCTTCACGTTTTTTTGTGTGGATCCAGCACAAGTTATGAAAGAGATATTTACAAATGGAGTTTGTGAAGTTTTGAAATCCATTGCAATTCCTATCCGTCAAGTATTCACATGATCAGTAGCGTAAGCACATACACAGCAAAAAGTCAGAATAGTGCAACATTTATATGAATTTGAGCATTAATATTTGATTATTTTGACAGCCTTAAAAAAAAATGCAACAAGCCAAATCTTCTTATTTTAGAAAGATACAAAAAGTGTCTACCTTGGAATGAGGATATAAAAACTAAATGGCTCTGTCCCATTGGTAAATCTTGTTTTACGATAGTCAGAGTGTACTTATATTATAATGAAAACCACTTTATTCAAGAAAGTATAACCTCCTGTCATTTTTTTTATTTTTTATTCTTTTTTTCTGTGTAAGGCAGCCTTTCCACATGCAAACGTGATAAGCTCTGGGCCCAAAGAGGCATATGCTGATTTCTATGTAGAGTTATACTTTCCTGGTGGAGAGTATAACTAAAATTGGACTTCCTATGTGGCATTCTCTAACAACAACATGCAAGTGACAGCTCTAAAGGCTTATTTATGAGACATATCTGCAAACCGCCAAGTCAATTTAATGTAAGAATGTAAGTTTGAAGCAGTAACAACATAAAACTCGATTTTTAAGCAAAGAAATATACTCAACACCAATTTAGATGCCATGATGATGATCTAAACATTTGTGTTTTTTGGTCAATGAGCTGTGATGATGTATGTTAGCATGAGACTTGTGCTAGCTTACTAATATCAGAATTATTCAAAAGCTGCTCAAAGAATCTCACATGTTTCCTGTTTGTGTGTTTTCAGTCAGTATATAACGTGTGAGTATTATGTATTTACTAACTGTGAGAAAAAAGTCCATCCATCCATTTTCTTCCCCTTAATCCATTTCTGGGTCGGGGGGGTGGCAGTCAGAGCTGCACCCAGTCACAGAGCACCAGCCCCTCACTGACCCTCCTGCAGGTGGTGAGTCCACAGGAGCTGAGATCTTTCAGTGGGAGCTTCAGGCAAAGTGGGGTTAAGTGTCTTGCCCAAGGACACAACGACAGCAGTCATCAGTGGGAGTCGTGAAGTAGGTCTTACGGTGGGCTCGAACCCACGACCTTCAGGCCCAAAGGCCAATGCTCTACCAACTAAGCTACTGTCGCCCCTCTGAGAAAAAAGTCAATATGAATAAATATAATTTCTCAGTCATTATTTTTTACTTTTTACTTTTACATTACATAAAACAACTTATACTTTTATACGTTTTTTTTTTTTTTAAGTATAGGAATTATGTGAATATGTTTATGAGAGTGGTATCTCCTAAAACGTTAGAAATCACTCAAACTGTATAGAACCATTTATTTGTACATTATCCTCTTTACAAGTTACTGACCCTATAAGAAAACAATGGGGGTAATGCGCATGTGTAGCGTGACTGTGAGTGACATTCGCAAAACTCCGATCCATATCAAGTTTGCACGCTTTCAAAGAGCACAGGACAGAAAGTAGCCTCAATACAACAGGGAGTTCTTTCTGGGGCATTCAACGCACACGCACACGCACGCATACACACACACACACACACACACGCACACACATAGTCCAAACACGAGCTGTGAAGCAGACCAGGCTTTTCCAATATATATGTATACACAGTGTCACCTTGAGATTTTTCATCCAACCCATCGCTTCAAACCTTACCTTCATGATGCCGCAAGGTACGTTCCCGGGCGCCGTGCTGGAGCTGTTGGAGCCGGAGGCACCCCGTTCTGCTGAGCTCTCCCGGCTTCCCCCGTCTCTGTACCGGCCGTTCGCGAACAAGCCTTGCGCAGCAGAGGAAGAGTCCAAATAGACGCGCGCTCCAGTCTCTGCTGCCGCTGCCATGGCTGTGTTGTGCCCATCCAAAACGTGTCCAGAGAACGCCTCCGAAGCCATGTCCCACCACTACTACTACTACTACTGCTGCTGCTGCTCCTGCTGCTGCTGCTGCTGCTGCTCC